AAAAATTAGAAAAGTTTACAATATGAAATGTTTGAAATTCTTAAATTTGTAGCTTTTTAAGTAGTTTATTTTTCCCTTTTTTGTCTTGTGTCTAATTGAAGAGATATGCAATTTCAAGGTGCAATTTCCTAACATAATACATACAGGTATAAATAAGCCTTATCTCATAGAAAAACAAATCTTGATGTAATTTTATAGAATTTTGACCAGATGAAATCAGTATATAGATGTGATTCTTGTTTTTCAAGCCAACTTTGCATTCATATTCTAATATTTTCTTTCTTGTTTAGTTGATGTATTTCAGCATCAGTATCCCTTAAACTTTCTATCTTTAGCCAATTAAGTGTGGGAATTGAACTATATGTATATGAAGATATATATAATTTAATTATTTCCCATATATGTCTGATAATGTATGTTTTTAATACTGTATACTGGTAAATCCTATCATGAAAGCTAAAGGTTTAGGGTTGTGATTAAAAAATATTTAGAAGGCTTCTGATAAAAAGAATCTTAGCATTTACATGAATTTAGAAGCACTGACCACTTCAGGAATCAGCAGACCAACAATGTACTATCCATCTTAAAAAGGAAGGAAAGTAAGTGTGTGGAGAAATAGCTGTTTTCATCATCTACAGGAAAAGAAAACTAGTATAACTTCAGTGAAGAACAATTCAATGACATGAACCAAAGTTATAAACCAACATACTCTTTGATCCAGCAATTTGGCTTCTGGCATATGTAGATATATATGTATGAAATAACACAAGCAAAAATTAACTATTGCAGCATTATCTGTAATAGCATATGTGTGAAAACAAAGTAAATGCCCATTAATGGGGGATAAATTATGGTATATCCATCAGCCTTTAGAAAATAAAAAAAGATGAGGGAGCTTTTTATGCATTCATATGGAAAGATCCAAGATATATTAAGTGAAAAGTAAGCAAAGTGGATGGGTATATAGTGTTATAACAATTACATAAAAGTGACAGATATTTTATATATTTTATATATAATTAAATGTAAACATGCACACATAATATATAAATATAATATACAAATATATAATATAATATGTTATATTATATATAAATAAACACATTCTCTAGGAGCTTTCTTTAAAAAAACGGAAATCGAGGCCGGGTGCGGTGGCTCAAGCCTGTAATCCCAGCACTTTGGGAGGCCCAGACGGGCGGATCACGAGGTCAGGAGATCGAGACCATCCTGGCTAACACGGTGAAACCCCGTCTCTACTAAGAAATACAAAAAACTAGCCGGGCGAGGT